AGAGGCAAACTGATCCCATGTTCGCAACGTATGCAACGCATTATGACATCTGGACTGTTGATTTTGTATGAAAGATTATGCATTAGAAACACTTATCGTTTGCAATGCATTCACATGCGTCCGACGCAACGTCGATCTACGAATCCAGATCGGCGTGGGAATGTGGTGGGGATATTCTTACGTAACTCCACGCGTACGACAAGTGTGTTGCTAAAACTTTCGCGTAGCACGTCATAAAAAAATAGACCTTTATACAGAGCCCGCGTTTTGTTGTCAAAATTTAAAATGAATAGCTCATCAATTTAATAAGGCAATACGACTGTATTTTTATAATATTAAATGTGTAGAATATCGCAATGCTAAATTACATTATACAGTATGGTAAGAGATAAATGGTATACCTAGTGAGTAATTATTCACTTACTGATATATTTTTTATAAACGTGAAAGAGAGAGGTCGATACGCGAAATTAAAAACAATAGATTTTTGTATTTCATTTTTCAGTTTTGTATTGTTTAAACATGATGCTTTTATTATATATAATTACTACCTAAACGTTTTTTTTGTGAACATAATACTAAGTAAATCATACTCAAACTCACTCTCAAAATCAGAAAATATGGTATTAATTTGTACTCGTGAGTTCGCATAGAAGTGACAAGAGTGTCTAATGAGAAACTACGTTGCATACATAGGACATGTGCTTACACCAGCGTGGGAGCGTAGCATCGCATATGTTGCGTAAGTGGGATCAGTCTAACTTTTCTTTTATTTTATAAGGAAAATTTGTTATTGTTATTGCAATTGTTTTCTGATAATTATTCAGCAGTGATCCGCTACGGGTTAGTTACAAATCCCAAATTCATATCGCCCTATATAACCTACTTCTGATATTGTTTCATGTGGAATAATTCAATTAATAACTAACAACCCCACTTGTCATATACGGGCAACGCGATTTGCATAATATTTCAATTAAAGGTCTTACGTTTTAGTGATTTTAATTGAATTGGTTTAGATACGTTAATTCAGATATCGTCTTAAGGAAAACATGAACCCCTACATAATATAATACTAAAGTCCTCCAAACCGAATTAACGACGTTTATCCGACACGAACGCTTTCTTTTTGAGGCGCGGGGATAAAACTCTCTGATTCGGAGCTTCTACTGAGAGTCTCCTGACATAAAACTCTTATGGTTGCCATACACGGTCAGTTCAACTGATCATTCCAACTGATCAGTTTAAATTAAAACTGTTGATATTTTTTAAAATATTGGATTTTCGATATATCGATAAATAAACTTATAATTGAAACTCCGATATTGGTATATTTATAATTATCGATATATCGGAAATTCAATATTTTAAAAAATATCAACAGTTTTAGTTTGAACTGATCGGTTGAACTTACCGTGTATGGCGTCCATTAAACTGATTAAAAAGACCTCGACGGATAGTGATACCTATCTCGTTTTGAAAAAAAAAAAATATATAAACATATATATATATATATATATATATATATATATATATATATATATATATATATGGGATGATCTTAGCTAGGGTCGAAACCCATATCCAGCTATGAACCATCTACAGATTGATGGAACTATATAATACTATGTCGTGAAGTGCTTCTATACATAAAAAAGTACATAGAAAAACAGTCAGACCCGCAACAGTATTTCGCAGATCATACGAATTTATTGCTCGTAAGATTAGTAGCCAAATTACGCTATAGAGCAAATAAAATAAACGGATAGCTTATGTAATAGAAAATAATCCCAGAAAAGAATTTTATTGTTGTTTTAACTATGAAAATGAAAGAAATAAGTGACTAGGTACTAGAAATTCTGCCTAGGAGTTCATCTGGGTAGCTACCACCTTCTTACCTATTTTTGCAATATAGCAGCAGTGAGTATTACTTCTTTTTTTCTTTATTCTTTTTATCAGTGCTTTTTTATTTTTATCGCGTCTCAAGGGTATAAATTGACAATATTATAACATAGGGCTGAGGGTTTAGAAGCACTCCCAAGGTGAGCTGAATTAAGAACTTAATTGTGAAGAAACCGAAATCGCGTATATCGCGTATCACCGTGGAATTTTAGTCGGTAGGATCTGACATAACGCGCCTGCATCTGAAAAAGGCTGCCGGGCGACCATGAGAATTTACTCATGTGAAAACTAGGTGTGCGTCTCATCTATCCATCGTCTTGACATAATGGTATATCCATCGAAAGTCATCTGTAGCCTTAATTGTTCAAAATTAGTTGTAGGCGACCATGAACTGCAACAGAAACTTACCATCAAGTTGAATATAATTACCTACCTACAACTCGTAGAAAAATTATTTATAATCATAGTTGTAATAATTTAAGTGACGTAATAGCTGTCGTAATAATCTCCAAATTTCATATAACACTGATTCCCGCCTGCCTGAAATATCTACTCACGCCTGACTAGAGATTTTCATAAATAGGAAGAAAATGACAATCCCATTTTACTCTTACCTCAGAACCTAGAATATAATATGCATAGTCTACATTCTTTCATTTCCACTTCACGCGATTTGCGATTAAGTAACTTTTAAACCCCTCTAAGGTCTTTGTTTTTTCAGAAACAGATATGGCATTGAAATTCTTGGATTCGTCCAGAAATATCCCATTACAGGATTTTTTAATATCAATATGTGCAGACAGAGTGGTCGTTAATAGATTTAAAGCGCCTTTTGTGTTATTCACCTTACAAAAACATTTTTTTTGAAGAGGTACGGTAAGGCGTTTATTTAATATATAAATATAAAACATAAACACTCACGCCTGTCACCCAGAGGGGTAGGCAGAGACTACGGACTTCCATTTGGCACGATCCTGACATACCTCTTTCGCCTCCTTTACATCCATATATCTACGCATACATGTTCGTCGGTTAAGGGTACTTTTAACGTGGCCCATTTTCAAAATATCGCCAATTTGGACGATAAACTTTTTCCTAGGGCGTCCCTTCCCGACTCGGCCGTTCACATCTGCCATATAAATTTGCTTTGTCACTCTTTCCTCATTCATTCTTTCTACATGACCAAACCACCGAAGCATTCCTTGCTTGCTTCCTGGTCACAACATCATCTTGCATACCACATTTATCTCTTATCACGCAATTTCTCACCCTGTCATTCAAATTCAACCCTAGCATATTCCTTAAATACCGTATTTCTACAGCATTTATTCTACTTTCGTGCTTCTTCTGCCACACCCAGCTTTCACTACCATACATTAAAGTAGGGATTAACACAGCATTATGAATAACCATACGTGCCTTTTTTGACACATTCTGGTTCTTCATAATAGAGTGTAGTGCCCCATTCACTCTATTCCTTGCATTTACTCGTCGTTCTATATCCCTATCATATCTACCATCCCTGCTAAATACACATCCCAAATACACAAACACATCCACTTGCTCAATTAACTCTCCTTCTATTCTTATTTCACATACCGTTTTGCTTTCTTCTCTTTCAAAAACCATCACTTTCGTCTTACTTGCGTTCACTTTCATTCCCCTTTCTTTTAATTCCCAGTTCATTAATGTAACCATCATTTGCAACTCAGCCGCTGATGACGCAAATATGACTTGATCATCGGCATACAAAAGGCATTTGACGGTTAACTCGCCCATTCTTAACCCACATTCTTCATCTTTCAAAGTTTGCAAACACCTGTCCATAAATAGGTTGAAACAGCCAAGGGGAAGCTGCACATCCCTGTCCGACACCTTTTTGGATGCCAAACCAGTCCGAGTAGACCCCATTGATCCTGACATAAGCACTAGAGTCCCTATAAAGGGACCTTAATGCCTGTGTCAAACCAGCGCTCAACCCATATGAGTTCAGTGTTTGCCATTACACATTCCTGTCCACTCTGTCATAAGCCTTTTCCAAGTCCATGAACGCACAAAAAACTTTCTGGTTTTTGGCCAAAAACTTCTCCGCAATCATGCGCAACGAAAAGATTTGATCTGTACACCGTCGCCTCAGTGCTTGTTAGGCCAATAGACCATTTGAGTAATTTTACAGGAGCAATGTTTTTTTGTTTTTCTATGCTATTACTGAAATAAATCCGTAATGTTCGGTAGTTTCCAAAACTATGGCACATCTGGACTTCTAATAATCTGTAAAAAATTAAAACTTTTGGCTTTAACATTGTGTAAAACCGGTTTAAAAATGGATATTGGACAAAAAAACGAAACTATAATTACGTTAATGGATATACACTACATTCCTTGCGATGTTAGCCAAATAGCAACCAAAAGTATTATGTGCTTGTTTGCCCTATAGCCTTACTTCACTATAAAGACTCTGAAATTAAATCAATCCACTGCGCATCATTGTTGTATTTTATAATAAAATTAATAAATAAATTATAAATTGTTTTTAAATCTCTTGACTAGGGTCTTATCTAACAGGCCTGAATTAAAATTAAATGTTGAATTTATAGATATATACTACCGGTGCCCTGTGGTTTCACTCGCGTATAATTTTAACGAAAGGTACTGCCGTTTTGTTTTAGTTTGACAAAAAAAGTGATTTTTGTGTGGAAAAGGAATTTATGTGCTGAATTGCTTCTTCTATTTTGCTTTCGGCGGTCTGTTTTTTTGTGTTTTCCTTTAGAGGCAGTGGAAATCAATTTCAATTTGTTGTTGTAAAGTTTTTGTAGAAATAATAAATTCTTTAAGGCGATATATCCAAAGTATCACAAAAAAACTGACACACCTTCACTTGTTGCTGATTTTTCAAAAAGAAGTACTGAAATGAGAACTTTCTTCTGCTTCTGTTCTTTTTCTTTGTGAGCGTACCTTACATGTTAATTCGTTGTAATATTTGTTATTCCGGGCAAGGTTTAATGAATTTTCAACTTTTCGTCACATCTAGTGTGAATCTGTTTTGCTGGAAATTTTTTCCCTTTGATATTTACATATTCTTCAGCAGCTTCTCTTTTTTATCTTGCAATTCTCTGCCAGTTTTCAGGGCACCTTTTTCTTTTTCTTGAGGATTTTTCTTCTACATCATTCGCAGCGTCATTAGCATTACTATCAATACTAACGATACATATTTCTAGTTTTAGTTCTGAACTACCAGGGCAAACAATGTAATTTTTTACTGGCGTTATAGCGCGTTTTTCGGTAAATGTTTGTTCGCCTTCTTCTTCATAATTTAAAGCATGTCCGCTGCCGTTGCTGCAAGCAATGACATTTTTTTGCGCAGTCCGCGGTAAGTATTTCGTTACCTTCTTCAACGTTTCGGTCTCTTTACAGGCCATGAATAACATTTTCCTCACTCTGTCAACCCTAAAAATAAATTTTTGGTTTTTGTTATTTAAAATTTGTATTTTAGTTAAGGTAACATTTTAAGCTTCTTCAAATAGTTATTTTTACTCTACTATATTATAAATGTGAAAGTTTGTGGGGATAGATAGATGGATGTTTGTTACTTTTTCACGCAAAAACTACTGAATGGATTTGGATGTAACTGCACCCGGATGAATTATATCCTGGATAACACAGGCTACTTTTTCCTCGTGAAACCGCAGGGTGAAACTAGTACGTATATTTTATCTACATATGCTTTTTCGATTATCAACCTACGATTCTCTTTATTTTTAACCGACTTCCAAAAAGGAGGAGGCTATGTATTCGATGCGTATTTTTCATTTATAAGTGATCCTCAGGTATTTTGGTTTCCTAGTGTGGGGGCCATAAGTAATTCTATCTTGTTATTGTAATTTCTTTGTCAAATAAGTTACTTTGTGTTTGTATATTTTTGTGTTACCAGTTGTGCCCCACGGTTTCACCCGCGTAAGTCCCGTTCCCGGATTACTGGAACAAAAAGTAGCTTATGTTCTTCTTTAGAGTTTCATCTATCTATGTACCAAATTTCATCAAAATTTGTTCAGCGATTTAGGCGTGAAAGCTTAACAAACATTCAAACAAACTCACTTTTGCGTTTATAATATTAGTAAGTACATTTATACGCTCAGTTCAATTTATTAAAAGCCCCTAAAATCCCTGAAACCCCTTCCAACCTTGAATCACTTAATAACGCCTTCAAACGCATACATACCAAATAAATAAACTGAACAAACGAACAGAACAAACAAACAAACCCATAGTTCCCGTTCCCATAAGAAAAGTAGAAATTCCCACTGAGAAAGGATATCCCAAATTATTTAGTATCAAATTAACTATCTTTAAGTGAAAATCTTGTCTAAATCTAGTCGACCCAGGGATTCGTCCGTTTGAAAAAACAAACAAACTCTTCAGCGTTGTGAGTATGACAAAAGTATGATTCTGAACCATCCTGTATTAAAGACACAACTTGACCTAAAATAATACCACAATGACTAAAATCAACTTGCATTTCGTAGTATGCAGTACTGCGGTTATACGGTTTATCACAAATGGTACAGGACATAATTTTCAAAGTTATAGAGACACTTTCCACCTCGTTTCACTTGTAAATTCACTGAAAAACTTAAAAAATCTCGCAGTTCTAACACCGTTTCGCGTCGCGATAGATTGTAAATAAACAATATGGCGGAACAGCCAGGTGTGACGTCATGAGCGAGCGGGCCTGTGATTGGTTAATTTGAGGATATACGGCAAACAAGCACGCGCTGGGAATTCCGCTATTGAAATGTTGGTTCATTTGTGGTGGTAAGCCATACAAGCACGAAAATTAAAATTGTAACTGTGGATATTGGTTTTTTAATATAGTCTTTTACTCGTTTATAGGTATAGTTACACGAGTCATTCTTGATTTAGATTGTGTAGAATTTGATTCTAAAGCATGCTACATTCAAAGGTCATTTTCGTCCAAATTGGTCTGTTGGCCAACCAAGCACCGAGGCGACGACACCCCATTCCCTTTCTAAAACCCGCTTGCACATCCCAAATTTTTCCATCAGTTTCTTTCATAACTCTTTCAATTAACACTTTAGCATACAGTTTACCCACAATACTACAAGCTGATACCACGGTAGTTTTTGCTGTCCTGCTGTGACCCTTTTCCTTTATATATTGGTACTATAACTGCTTTAAACCAGTCATCTGGTACCCGTTTTAATTTCCAACATAAATTAAACAAGGTGTACAGCAGGCCTGCCACCACTCCCTCTCCAGCTCTTAGCATCTCGAGTGATACTCTATCATATCCAGCTGCCTTACCTGCTTTCATGCTTTTCATTGCTTTCATTATTTCATGTACACTTATCTCCATACCCCCTTCCACTTCTTTCGGAATTTCTAGTTCATTTAATTCAGACGACTCTTTACTCATAAACACGCTTTCAAAGTAATCCTTCCATCTGTTTAAATTCGAAGCTTCATCATTCAGAATACATCCATTCTCGTCTCTTATAGCATTCATTATAGGCTGTTTTGTATTTCCCCTGGCAGTTCCTACGAGTTTCCAGAACATTTTTATATTAGCCTGGAAATTATCAGATATCCTTCTATTATTCTTATCCGTTCTTTCTTTCTTTTTCCTTTCAACAACTTCTTTTACTCTCTTATTAAGACGTCTAAATTCTGCCTTTTTTCTTTCAATCTCATCATACATATTAGAAAAATTACCAGCTTTGGTTGCTAGTAAATCTAACCATGCTTTCTTCTTTGATTCAACTTCCACCCGTACCTCATCATGCCACCGCAACGTATTGCTTTTCCTTTCATTTGTTCTCTTACTTACACCACATACTTCAGTGGCAGCATCCACCAAACCTTTCTTAATATTGTCCCACACAGTATTCAAGTCTAAATCATTCATACACAACTCATTCAAACATCTAATATTTCCTCTCAGTCTACATTTGTACTTCTCTTTCACATCTTCATCTTGTAAGTTCTCTATTCTTATACGCTGTAACGCAGTGGTAAACACAGATGACCGATACCGCCAACGCTTGAAAAGACCATTAATTCGACATAAGACCAAGTAATGATCCGTCCCTACGTTGAACCCCCGGTAGACCCTTGTATCTACGACTGCGCTCCTCATTCTTTCATCCACAATTACGAAATCTATCATGCTTCTATCATCACCTCTTTCCCATGTATACATGTGAATCTTCTTATGACGAAAAAAGTATTCGTCACAAAAAGATTCTTTTCCACACATACGGTGAGGAGGTCTTCACCATTCTCATTTATACTTTCTTCACCAAACGTTCCCAATATCCTTTCATAACCAGACCTCTTCACCCCAACCCTTCCATTAAAGTCTCCTAACATAATAATATTTTCATTTTCCTTACATTTTGTCAACACCATCCTTACCATGTCCCAAAACTGCTCTCGGATGTAAGTGGGCTTAGACATGTCTGCGGCGTACACCCCTAGCAGGAACAGTTTCTTTAAGCCCACTTTTATTTCGTATCTATAGCAGCCTCGGGCTTACACATTCATACTATTTCACACATTGACCCATTCTTTCTGAAAGGATGAAACCGACACCCTGGCATGCCCGTTCGGTCTCGTCTACGCCAGACCAATACGCGGTATACGTGCCATGTGCAGTGGCATCCTTTCCCTTTCGTTTCGTCTCATTCACACATAACACATCTATTCCTCTGTCATTCATCATTTCGCATACTTCATCCATCTTATCATTCATTCCTCCACATACGTTCAGCATAGCCAGACGGGTTTCCGCAATCCACTTTTCGCCCCTCCGGGAGACAGAACGTGACGGCGAAACTCGTCACCGGTTTTTCTCCCGGAGATTCTTCGCACCCCTGCCCCATTAAAGGGACGCCGGGAACTCGGGGCCATTTCTTTTATTTCCTGACTCATGGTGCGAACAAGGGGTGGTGGTAGATTTTACGCCGCTACCATACGGCGAAGGGGCCAAGTAAATTTTTCGGCTTTGTCGCTCGTTTCGCACCACACGGGGGACACATGTAGGGTGGGCCTAATTTTAGGTGGTTGAAGCCTACGGACGCGAGCGACTCATCCCCCCGTTTATTTATTAGTTTAATTTTTTTTTTGTAATTAAAAGCGAGATCGGTCTGTAATTTTTAACTGAACTTTTTGGTCCCTTTTTATAAATCGAGCAAATCGAAACTGTTTTCCATCTATCTGTAAAAGTACCGCATGAGTGACTAAGGTTGAAAATGTTCGCAAGCGGAGTCATATTTTCGTATTTTACAAGCGCGTTACTAATTCCATCTATATCCAGTGCCTTATTGTGTTGCAACTGACATATAAATTTTCCAATTTCTGCATGATGTGTGGGGGGATACATGAAAAACGAATTCATTGGTGCATTTGAATTTCAAACGAACCTTGCCAGATCAGCTTTATTTAGCTTTACATGAGAAAAAATATTTTCTACCAGCTTTTTACCAGAAGCAGAAAAATAATTATTTGTGAAGTCGATTGATTCTTGCTCATTTAGACCATCTAGTCTTAACAATTCTTTGGGTTCATTTTTGTTATGTTGAATTTGTTAGGTATTTTTGACTGACTGCCACATTTTTTTGGGTTCTTTTTGTTTTTTGTAAGAATTTTATTTTTATATTCAGTTTTTACCTTGTGTAATAAATCTGTAAAGAAATTTTTGTAACGGGTACATATTTTTTTAAGTTTTTGTTTTCCGGATCACTATGAGATTGAAGATGCGGACGATCACGGACGCACATACAACTAATTAAACCTGGAGTTATTGAAGGTTTTATGTTGTACTTGGCTCTATTAATTTTAACTTCTTTGGCATGCTTGTTTAGGACATCTGTAATTTATTTTGTGAATATTTAATTAGCTATATTTACATCGGATATATTGCTTAAAATGGACCCGTCAATGTTTTTAAGGTTATCTTTTATCTTAAATTCTTTCTTAAATTTGAAACGAGTAGGTTTTAGAACCTTAATTTTTTTGGAGTTCAAACAAAGCATAACTGGGAAGAGATCTGTAATGTCACATAATATACTATAATGTCCAAGTCTCTAACGTAGATGAGATCAGGGCAAGTCGACTCCCTAGTTGGATGTACTGTGGCTGGAGTGAATCCGTGTTTGACCATATAGCACTGGTTCTCTATGCTTTGTGGACTACTTATATTTTCCATTATAATTATGTTTATGTCGCCAGCTACGATGTAGAGGTGACCATCTGTTTTATTAATGTACATTTCAGGGGATGCTTGAAAGTTTTCCAGATTCTTAAAAGATAGTGAACGATACATTCCAAGAATATTTAGTTTTCGGGTATTTGAACAAATAAGCAAACGGCTTCATCAGGGCATAGTTCCAAAACTATGGGATGCAATTATATCACTCAGGTATATGACAACTCCACTATTTTTATTTAACTGCCTATGGGTTTTAAAAGCGTTGTGTCCAGGTATTTGCGGTATTAATATATCATCGAAGAGCCAACATCAAATTTATATATAATATCCACGGATATTTCTAAACGTTGTATAGCTGCCATTAAAGAAGCAAAGTTCTTTCTTAGGCTTCTTATATTGAGACAAAATAGCTTTAAGGTAAATTCCGGAGTAATGACATGTTTACAATCACATATATCTTTTATATTTTCACATTAAACTTGCCTTTAGTAATTCCAGGCCCAAATTATTGTTCACAATCATTTCGTAGTCGAATTTTATCCGAAAACTAGAATAAGTTGGCTTATATGACACAAGACATTTTTACGCTTAATAAATTGTTTCCTTACTTTAGGAAACAAAAATAAGGACTAATAAAAAGCAAACTTTAAAATTATATCAAAATAACAAAAGCGTTTACAGATATACATACATACATTTTTTAGCAATAGTAAAGTCATGTAAGGTAGCTTGCATTAAATAAATTTCAATCCTTTGTCTTTCATAATTATGTACATCATTACGTTTATCATTATGTACTCTAGGCAGAAGAGGGTAGAAGAGGGTGAAAACAGACGATCAAGGTCCTTCTGCGATTGAATAAGCTGAGCAGATGTACCGCCACGTTGCGTGACGTAAATAAAGCCTTGATTACACTAGCAGTATGTGTATCCATGTTGCTTGGTCCTATGTCTACTGCCTCGAAATAGCACTCTGTTTTCTTTGTTATGCCTTTCATAAAAATAAACTTTCCTGCTACCTCCGAATCTCGAAGAAGAATTGTTTATATTTCGTCTTAACTTAGCAGTTATAATGATTTAATTCCGTTTAAATTGACGCAGAAATTTAACGACCACTGGTCGCGGCATATTGCCTATATCTCCTGGTAGAACAACGGTTTTCGGTGGTCGGCATTGGCCCACACGAGTTACTCATCTAAAACTTTATCTTCTGGGTCAACTCCCAGTTTCATTACTCCTACGAGTATGGTATGATTCAGATTTAGTCCGAGTTTGCAGGAATTCCTAAAATTTCTACTTTAATTCTCATATTCTGTTGAGCTTGTTATTTAGTTCATTTTGCAG